AAGTGTAAACGACAGTATGGTGTTCTACACATCAACAGTAAATCTGTCCACCTTATTACACAAACAGATGAAGTGTAAACGACAGTATGGTGTTCTACACATCAACAGTAAATCTGCCCACCTTATTACACAAACAGATCAAGTGTAAACGACAGTATGGTGTTCTACACATCAACAGTAAATCTGCCCACCTTATTACACAAACAGATCAAGTGTAAACGACAGTATGGTGTTCTACACATCAACAGTAAATCTGCCCACCTTATTACACAAACGGATGAAGTGTAAACGGCAGTATGGTGTTCTACACATCAACAGTAAATCTGCCCACCTTATTACACAAACGGATGAAGTGTAAACGGCAGTATGGTGTTCTCGCCATTTGTGTAAAACGTGGTTTTATAGAATTCCTCTATAATTACTCGTTTGTGGCAAACTTCTGTGGAGCCGAATTGATGAATCAGAAATTGAGAAATTATGCCTTTTGTCTCTGAAAGGGAGGAAATAAAATTTTTTTAACCAGTTTAGGCGTCAAGTTGTCAGTGTGTCGACAAATTTCGCCAAGTTTCGCCAATTGTAAACATTAATGATCTGGATTTATATCCTATAAATGCGCATGCCGTGTCGAACGGAACTGCAAAGTCTGTTCTCAAGATAGAATGTGTATTATCGCTTGAATTTTCTACTGCCAGGACTCGATGAAGACTGATGGTTTCAGTCGAAATGTCTGTTATTAATTAAGACCAAAATTCCAGAAAAATATTTAAAAATTCCTCATTTGAATTGAACCTGGATGAATGACAGTATTCACTTTCACTCGTAAGAGTTGTTTCTTATTAGTTTTCAATATTAGAAAGAATGCACTTTGTTAAATATTGTTCTGGTGCAGGTGACTTCGAATTGAGATAAACGTAGGAAAACATGAATTTATTTGTGTCACTTGACCAAGTTTGATGAATGTGCACATATTTTTTAATACAGCTATTTCGTTAGTGAAGTTCGTATACTTTCCTCTTAACTCTAGTTCCTATGTATCTGCCAGTGGGCTTTCCAAAGTAATCAAAAGATTTATGGTAATCACGTTTTTTTTTTCATTTTTAGGTTTTTTTCACCTGGGTTGTAATTTCAGTTGTTTTTGATGAAATGGCTGTCCTTTATTTGGCTGTACCCGCGTTTAGAAGGAAGTTTTTCGAGTTGCATGGGTGAAATTACTTGCAGTTCCATACGTAAAGACTACTTATCAAGGACGCTTCAAATAAGAAAAGGGAATAAAGAATAAGTCACTTAACCCGTCATATTTTTAACGGCCAAGTGTCCTTGTCAAGCAAATTTTGTCGTTGTTAATTTTTTTCATTGAGAGCCGGACACCTCTTAGGACTGAAATGTCTGATTTCAAACAAAGGCACAAGGGCAAAGTATCAATCTCTTTAATAAACACTGCCAAAAAAGGCTTGTCTAAGAAAAATCGATATGTAGGGCAGATCCATGATACAAGTTATTAACTTTACTGCTATGTTTCATTGAAGGTATTCGAGTGACGTAAGCCTTCATCACGTGACCCTTAGAAATCATTACATGCTAAAATGTGGAGCTTTGATTCTCTTCTCTGTCCTCATGGGAGCAATGGCGGCCATCAATTTCTCTCTGGCCTTTCTGGTAACCATGTTCCAGGTGCCTGTGTACTTGTTCGTGGCTCCTTCGGGCAGTTGGTGAGTAGTTCATGTATTCGTTAACTGCGAGAATTCTCCTTAATTTCTAGATTTTTTTTGTGCCTCAGTTGTTGAGTATGTTAAAAAAAAAAACCATACACAACTACCGAGTTGTTGAGTATGTTAAAAAAAAAAAACATACACAACTACCGAACAGGATCCATCTGGGTTTCTGGAGCATGAGGCGACCATGCGTTGTACTAATCCTGCTGAACGTTATTCTTGCTTATCACTCTTCCCTTTCTCAACATCTCCACTTTGTCGAAATGGTTACTTGAAAGTTTCCCCGTGCCCCCCTCCCCCCCCACCCCACCCCACGGTTACTCTTGGATGGAAAGAGGCACTTCGCGCAGAAACGAAAAGCAAAGTGGGTAGTAACCTTGATAAACTACGAACCAGGAGCTTTTGAAACTATGCAGCATGTAACTCCATTTGTACATTGCACCCACATATGATTTGTCTTCGTCAGTGTAATGGTTCGAAGTCGTTCTTACTTCGTATAAATTCTTTGTTGTCTCCAAGCAATCTCACTTTAAATTCTTGTTCGCGTTTTGTTGACAGTGGTCGCCGTCTACTTCAAGCAGCACTGTTACTTTTGGTATCGCCGCCGATGATACTATTTCTCCTTTCACTGGCCTATAACTTAGTTGTCCCACAAACCGAAGCTGACATCAGCATCGTACTTCAATCCACTATGACAACTGTCTATCAAGCCGTGACATCATCAATAAGGGAAGCCCGAATGTTGGGCACGTGGTCCTTTGCGATGACGTGTCTCGGGATTTTGCCCAACTGGCTCATGTTTTGGTGTTTAGCGTGGCGCTGAGATATGGAGTAAAATTTCTCAACGTCTTTGGTTCAACTTTTCATGGGACTCATAATGTATTCTTTGTCCCAAACTCGTGATAAGAAGAAAGGAATCTCTGCAGGCATTTAAACTCTTCATCGGGGTCCACTTGCGTCTCGATCTTTTAAGCCACAACCTGCAGTACTCTTTTCAAATCCTTTCAAAGATATTTTTATAATATTGGAAAGTTTATACGTATGGAGTCATTTTGAAACATGGGCAGTTGGGCACCAGATCTGCACTGAGGAGAGGAGGAAAATTTCTTCGTGAAATAAAAGTCATGTAGCTATTTACAGTTAAGAAGTTTGTTTGATTTCAAGATAAAACTATCTCGCTGCTTTCACAACCATTTGTTCCTCAATAATGTCTTTCTTTTTGTAAGGAGAAGGAGTATGTTAGTTAGTCCTGATGGTTGACACGTTGAATGTTGACTCTATCATTACAGCCAGCTTCTGTGTCCCATGTGTGAGGTGCGTTGCAGCTTCCTCAGTTGTCAAATTCTTCCTTGGTTAGATAAGCCTATTCGGTTTATTTACGCTTTTCTTGTATAGTAATTTTACTTGGTTTCGCGGTTTGCGGTAGTCTTCGAAATATTTTAGTTTAAAGTGTCCCGTTCACTTCGAAGAAACTTTAAATGGAATTCATTGACTATTACTAACTTCAATCACGTGTACTGAGCACAATTCCTTTTTTTCTTTGCGATAAATTGTTGATGATAGTGCATATGAAACGACTTGCACCACCGCTCATAGGTTTACACATTAAGTTGTGTCATTTGTCTTACGCAGTCTAAGATATCCATGACATTTAAGACATTTGGACAATTCCTTTTTTGTTAGAGCACTCACATCCTGATCCAATGTCGTCAGATATCCACGGAATCTTTTGAGGTGTATGCATGCTTTCGGATGATAAATCAGTCTGTCTAAATAGGCGGAAATCATCAGCGTATATTTTTAAAGACTCTGTGTGCAAGAAACTGATAATAAAGTTTCACGCTAGATAACCTTTTCTCATTTTAAATGTTTCTAGTGTTCTTATCAATTGACTTTCCGGTAAATTTATAACATCATGTTCAACATTTTATGTGATCAAATACCCTTTCAGTCTGATCTGTCATATGCCGATTTAAACTTCCTTTATCGACGGAGTTTCGAACATGTGCTTGTGCATGATCACAGTTTCTAACCTTACATGCAATAATCTCAATTGTTGTAAATAGCGATTTATAGAACTCCATAATTGTTGTACCATCGTACTATCATTGCACAGTAGTGTCTTCTCTGAAAGTATTCAACAAATGTTGGATGTTGTGCGTGTTTCATTACTCTTCCAACATGAAAACGGGCGACAGGATCCAGGTTATCTTCTGTTGGGTATCAGGTCAACTCAACAAACATCAGACTGAACAAACATTAGATAAAATGACTACTATCATGTGTCGCTCACGGATAGAATCAGTTTTACCCGTTTCTCGTTGTATGAAATCGTTGGTCAGAAGAAAATTTCGTCAACTCAAACCCAAACTGACTTGGAAATAATTTTCATCCCACCTCGTAAAACGTATTTAGTTTGAAATTTATAGGTTCGCGGGAGAAACCTTATCTACTGTGGTTCGGTTAGTGATAGAAGTTATGTTCTTTCACGTAAAAGCACTTAAACGTTTCGAAAGTGTTGTTAAGTTCATTGTGTAATAAACCAAGCGTAGGCGTAATTCCAACTCGTATATTGTGTGTCTAATGTGTAATCGCTTCTTTATATATAGGTAATATGCGAATCACTAATTTAATCAATCAACTGTCACTTTACAAACAAAACGAAATATCTGGTTTCACAGGTAAAGAAATTGTTCTCGCGTGGGGGCGTCTCCATGTTTCCGACACATTGTTTCAGAACTCATATTTTTGTAACAAGGATAGACAAAGACACGGTACAAATTACACCTCATTGGTGTACTTCCCACGACTGGACATTACAGTTTTGATTGCCTGCCGGAAGTCTCTCTTCTTGTCAGAATAAAAGCGAAAGGCAAGAAACAGGTGTACCTCGTAGGAGTTAAGACAGGTCGTGTGTCTTGAAATGATTTCCCAATTATTCTAAATTTATCACCTTTACATGTCTTCTCCATTCTTACTCATCTTTCCCTCACAAACTCTCTCGTTTTTATCTCACGAAGAATAAATTGTTGGCGATTCACATACCTCTAACCTGCCAGGAAACTCGTGTAATTTCTCTTAACCGCGCAGAGCGGAAGTGTTTATAGCAGTTTTGGTTTAAAAAAGGTCACAAACTCGCGTTTTTAGATAATCCGCGGTGAAATTTGTTTTGGCAGGCTTGTGGCAACTTCATTGGTCTCAATATGTATCGTGGTGATAGTTTTCTCTTATTCGCTCATCCTTATTGAAGTCAAATGTGGTTTTCAGCCTCGTCATCATGGTACTGCTGGCATGGAAGGGAGGCTGACGGTGTCTCTGTTCATCTTGACTGTTGTCTCCGGTCGTTGATGATGTGGCTACCATTTATTGTACAATGTTTCCTTTGGTACTCGACTAAGATATTTAGCACGTATCCGTCGCACTTAACCTGCTTCATCATCTTTTTAGTTGGAATAAATTCTTTAGTAAATGCCTTATTATACGCGATTAGAATACCGGAATTTAGGAGGTCGGCGAAATCGATGTTTTGCCAGGAAGTGACCTAGAAACAGATCGCAATCTTTTCCACTCTGGCGAATTTAGTTTAAAATTAAAATCAGTATAATTATGCTTTTCCAAGGAGGGCAGATATAGGAGAGTAGTCAACCCCTATCCCCCCCCAACCCCGCTCTAAGAGCAATATACAACAGAACTCACGGAGTAGTTAAGTAATCTAAAGATGTAAAATTAAGCTAAAATTCTAAACATTTGAGTGGCCTGTGCAAGTCCTGGCTCTACATCATTGCCCTGCAGCGCAGTAGGTCACCGATATTAGCAATTAAAAGTACAAAGTTCACAATAGTGTGGAAAGAAAATGGTCTATTGTTTAAAACAGAAATATCTTGTGAGTTAATGTAGTAAATTGAATAAAATTGTGGGAATATCACTATTAGCCGTTAAAGTTAGTTAAGAGCCAAGCGAGTAAAATACAATTTAAGTTCTGTTGTTTATACACACCAGAACTTTCATCGCCAGACCAGCGGGCCATGCACGCCTTTTCTGTTCCAGTCCTTACATTTGGCGTTCGCGTTTTAGTAAACATAAGAAACCGACCTTGCTTTGAACATACATACTTTATAAGCTTGGGTGCGAAACGAATAAAATTTTGGGACATGAATGGTCCAAACTGGGTACAAAACGATTGAATACAAAACATCCGTGGGTACGAAACGACTCAACACTAGTAGAGAAATATCCTTCTCTAATCTATGTAAACTATCTTAATTAAACACTTAGAAGCTTTCTACTTGGCACTAAAGGCAAGTCGATCGTTAAAGGTGGGAAATCCTCGCTCACCCACGTTCCTTCCCTTGTTTATCTTTCGAAGCGGTACCGGAGCTTAAAAATTATCCTGGTTCCACTAAGGATATTTACAGAGTAGTACGCCATTTAAAATGTATCGCTTTTATCTTAACGGTGGCACATTATTCTGAACGAGAAGAAGCACATTATGCCAATTCCGATAAACAGAAGACTTGTCTCAAAATCTCATTCATTGGCGTTACCATTAAAATGTTGTCATCTGTATATCAGACGGCATGTTCAGTGGAGGCGCATTCACGAGGTCAAGAAGCGGAGAGAAACATTTGCAATTGACTACGTCTCGTGTTTCTCCCTGCACTTTTTTCGTAATCTAGTCACTTCCCACGTGCTTTACAACAGAACAGAGCACAGTTAAGGCTTCTCTATTTGTCAATTAATTCTCTCCACAACTGCACATCTTATGTTCCTTTTAATTTTAGCTATAAGAATTTGCTGAGGAATTAAAAAATATTCCATGGATGACTTTTTCTTTTTTCCTCATCGCCTTTCAACTCGAAAATTTCTTACATTGTAAGGAGAAATTGCTTTTTGGTCATTGAAGGGTTAATTAAAGCGCCGCTCAAGCTACATGATGAGATTCCATATGCGTGCAAAGCGTTAAGGGAAAAACTTTTTTTATCGTTGCCGCAATCGTTTAGGAGACTTAAAACTTGAACTTGCCTCGAGCATCACTTTCTGAATTGAATTCAATTTTTAATTGACTGTCAAAAGTGATGGGGGATTACTGTTTTTTACTTCGCTTTGTGATTGCTGTAGAAATGTTTTACCCGCTTCTGCTGGTCATATTGTTTTTACTTTGCGTTCTATTGGTTCCCTGCGGTTTTTTTTTTCCGACATGCCTTTGTGAAATGATATTCATTTCAGGATTTCAGTCAGACCCAAGGTCAAAAACACACACACAAAAATTCTTTCCTCAGTCGGTTGACCGACAAATGATTATTGCTGTTTTGACAAAAAGGTTTAACCGTAAATTTTGAACAATTCATAGAGGGTCACCCAGATACAAACAAACTTTAATTTGAATACAGGATTTTCATCGCCTTAAAACTAGTTTATTTCGAGGAGTTTACTTTATTTTTAATAGTGGATAGAAAGGTTTTTCCAAAGGTGTTTAATGGTAAAAGTCGTATGAAATATGACACCTAGCAGCTGTTGTTTAGGCTAACTGTATGGAAGCACTACACAAAATTTATACTTGTTCATCTAAAACTCTAAGATATTACATCGCAATTTTTCCCGCGGAATTCTCAAAAGTGTTTCGAATAAATCCTTTTGAAGAAGTTCTTTTACCCGCCGAGTTTTATAGGAGAGATTAACTTTGATTTGCCTCATGAATAATAATACTCCAAAGAAATTGTTAATAAATAATTTTTTGGGGGGCTGTTATCATTCGAGGTTAGAAAATTGGCTTTAACCAATCGCAGAATTTGGATATTTTTTGCACCTGCGTAATCAGGATAATTTATGCATCAGAACAGCTTGGAAAAAATCTTAACGCTCTTTTTAACAAGTGCTAGCTTCGGTGAATTATGAAGTTTAAAATCCAATCAGATTTGCTATGAGTCAAGGAAAGCATATTTTATTTACGGGACATCTTTGAGACCAATTGAACTGGCGAATTTTCCTGTCAGTGAGCGGTGGTGTATTAGAGAATTATTGTCAAAATTGAAAAGAACTTTTAAAGCATATTTACCAGGTTTTGATAGCAATTCCCACTGAGAAGGGTGCGTGGGCTTGAAAAGCGATAGGAGACAAGAAAACCACGGATTGAGAAAATAAATTCCTTTTCGCTATGCTGGTAAAAGCTGGATGATATCAAAAGAGAGAGACTCAGATACGAAAACCAAAGCACTTTAAGTAAAAACAGAAATGAAGTCAGTAATTCAACAACATATCTATGGAGCTTACAAATTTCTCCGAAATGTCTCAGACGACGAAAGCGACCAAGAAGCTGCGGAAGAAGATAAAGAAAGTAATCATGCCATTTCGTCCATGGAAGAGGATGACCAAAACAAGACGACCAACTTGCAAACTTTCTGGAACATATTCAATGCCAACCAAGGGGTGGCCATATTGGCTATGCCGTATGTTGTCAAAAGTGGAGGCTATATGGCTCTTTTCAGCATACTTGCCATAGCCTTTATTTCCAACTTTACCAATAAGATTCTGGTGCAGTGTCTGTACGAGTATTCAGCGGAGCAGATCCCATTCCGAGTTCGAAACAGCTATGTCGAAATCGGAGAAGCGTTCTCGCCGAAAATCGGGCGACACCTGGTCAACGCGGCGCAAATGTTCGAACAGCTCTCATACTGCACAGTGTTATTGATTCTATGCGGTTCCATTTTGGCCTCCACCTTTCCCTTCGTACCACTTTATCAAAGCCATTGGACAGCGTTAGGAGCCATGCTCCTGCTTCCAAACATCTTCCTCAAGTCTCTCAAAGAAGTGTCGTGGGTAAGTTTCCTGACTGTCATGATCGGGGGCATCATTTACCTCACGGTCACA